ACCTATCTTAGAGTTTTGTCATATTTATACGATGGAATTAAGAAATACTTAAAAAATTCGGACGAGCATAGCGAGGGAGACCTTTAGATATATGTCAAATCCTGCACCATTTTTATTTCTTTTTATCTTTAAAAATCTCACTTAGTTGCATATCCTTGTCATTAAAGACCTAACATAACACATTTTATAACGAAAAAGCAGTAATATCTAGTGTTTGGTGTAGATAATATAAATTAACTATAATGATAGTAACTATAATATTACAACTGATTAGATTTACCAGTCATAATATTCAGATCACCAAACGCGTGTTTTCTTTATATTTGACTCATAGGCACGCTCGAATCAAAAAAAATAAAAGATCATTCTAAACAAATAAGTTAACAGTGGACAAAAAAAAAAGAATATGAAGAGATACTAGTATCCAAAAGACACTAAAAATCATCAAATTGAACAAATTTTGAACAAACCTATGACAAAAAAGTCGAACAGACTAACGACGGTTTCGATGAATAAAAAGAACAGTGCAAACTTACAATTCAACAAACATGAAATAGTGTGTAAAAGCAGAAATTATTATTGCAATGAAATATCGTTTAAAATTTAAATGGACGACATTATTTCAAAAACATCTAAAACAAGAAAAGTTTTGTATATTTAGGTTTATAGTCTCTTTGTTTTGTTCCTTTTTACATTGCAAATCAACAATTTCCTGAGAAAGTTTTAAAAGGTGCTCATTAAGAAAATAAAAACAATTACTTGAGTTCATTGTTTCACATAAAGGATGAACACTTAAAAAATAAAATGTATGCCGTCTTACCGTGTAAGTACTTGGTACAAATATAATAAACGTGATCTACTGGCAAGTGAGGCACACTTTACATGCCATTTTCGTAATCTTATCATTTCCAATAAGATTTCCTGTCAAGTTCATTTTATGTTCTTAACTTTTAGTGCAAACTTTAATCTACAATAGCAATCGAGAATGATAAAAATGACAAATAAACTCATCAAAGATACCAGGATTGAAATTTTATATTTGCGCCGGACGTGCGTTTCGTCTATAAAGACTCAACAGTAACGCTCGAATCCAAATTTTTTTTTTATTTTACATTCTACATATATATTTGTAATACAAATTGGTAAGTGCGTGCACAAAATCGAAGGTATTTCATTATTTTTTAATAAATTGTGTAACATTGTTCTCATTTCTAATAGTGACCCCAGTTTTCGTGTAGTATAATATGTAGTCTATTTGTACATTTAAGTTGTACATTTTAACTTCTCCCATGGCAGGTACGTTCGAATTGGATCTTATTTGACTAGATTGCAATTTTTCTTTCGCCTTTCGAGGATTCTCTCTCGGAACTTCGACTTCTTCACGAAATGAAATAAAAACCACGAAATAGCAACGATTGCTAAAAGATTCTTTAAACACTAGTAATAAATTAACAAACCAATCTCATTTTTAATTATATTTGAAGAATTTAAAGGGGCACATTCGTGAAAGGGAACAGGATTGTAGTTACGACAAAAGGAACATATTCGATACCATCTGTGAAACGGATATTCCATAACGGTCAACCAACTCGTGATGGCGTCGTAAAATTTACGAAGTGATGATTTCAATTGGTACTCTTGGTTAAAAATTGAAAAGACACAATTGGGAAGCTGAAATCATCTCTTTTGTCGTACATTTGTGTATTCAATCAACCCTCATTGTCAATTTCTAGATGTAAGTCAAGATGAGGCAGACTTAACTGTTTTTGTTGTATCTTTTATCTCTTCAAAACGGAAATACTTAATCAAATGGAAAAATCAAAAGCTCAAACAAATCAAACGAATTGATAACACCTGTCATATTCATGACTTGATACAGGCATTTTCTTATGTGGAAAACGGTTGATTGAACCTGGTTTTATAGCGCTTAATATCTCACTTGTACGAATGTCGCATCAAATTTCATTATTTTGACAATGATGCGTGAACAAAACAAACAGACATAATGGGTAAAAATGTCAAAATTAGGGGTACAGCAGTCCATTGTGTTATAATCTTAATCACAATAAAAACAAACAAATATATAACAAAGAAGCACAAAAAGGCATATATTAAATTTTACAACCACAATCATTGCTTTCTTATTTTTGTATTTTATTTATGTCTGTTAAATCCACTATTACATTTGCATTAAGGGTTGAAAGATTTTAAGTACTTGGACCGAATGGTTAGATTAAAACATTAGCTCTGACGTAGAATCGCGCGTTTGACGTCAGAATGTAAACGTCACACAGGTAGATATATAAGATAATTTTTTCGTTCAAAGTATGAAAAGAATATAGTATATAGTTCTTTTAGGTATATCCTCTGCAGAATGTAAATTAGAAGTTTACCTTGTTCTTCTTGTCGCTTGTCTATATTCTTATTGTGTATTTCTTCTTAAAAAGAGTCACGGCATCATGTATCAAAGAAACACTTCGTTCGTATTTTTGTCTACACGCAATCTAATTGCAAATGAATACTTCATCAGCGATGTTTCTTAGCTTATTTTCAATGTTTGCAGCATGTTTGGTTCAATTTTGTCAAAATAAGCTAAGAAACATCGCTGATGACACGCAGGCAGTAACAAAAAAAGCAATGTTATTAATACTATTATGCTTGTCTGACCTTGTTTTTAATGCAATTTTCAAATTGATTAAAATCCTTTATTTTGCTATCATTACTTATAAACCAATATTTTTTTATCTTGAAAATGCATAAATGTTAGTTAATCGAAGAAAAAAATGTTCACATAAAGGTAATATATATCATTTACTTGCATGTCTGTCTCAGGAAACAGAAGTTTGAAGTTAAATGATCTTGAAAATTTGAATAAGTCTTATCATGAATTAAATTTCAGGTGAATCTTTTATATTCAAGACCACTGCATTGTCTTTTAAAAATAATAGATGTATGATACTAAAGCTAAATTTTTATTTTTCAATTATTCAAAAATCGTATTAGTGGAAAACAAAATATTTGAGTCAAGTGAAATATCTGTGTTATTAGTCATCATTCTAAGGTAGGTGTGTTGAATTGTTATACTTTGTGCAGTGCATTTCTTACTCGTAAATGTATTTGTTTTGTTTTAAAATCATTACAATAAAAAGTTTGCATATTAATTATCATATTCGTGAAAAATGTGCTATAAAAAAAAAGTTGGACATTCATTGAACCTTTTTCCCATGACGAAAGTTTTATTTTACTTTTTGATCGTTAAACAATCCTTCTTTAAATGTATCATGTGTATTCAGTTATAATTAGTCTTTAACTTCTGAACATTTATTGCATGCCCTTTCAAGTAGTATATTCATAGAACTTTTAAGTGTTTTAAATGTACTTTCCAACATCCGCCCTGACATCATATTTGAAAATTAAAAAAAAATAAAAAGACATGTAACTATATATTAAATGATGTTTATAAGTCATAAGAAACGAACATATAAATTCATGTTCTATTATTTTCCCATTTAAACGCTTATTCAAGGTTATATTTTCACACGATAATATAAGAAACAAATACATAAATATATGAAATGCCATTAGTAAAAATTATCCCTCTTTTATTCTTTTGAATGAAGAATAAATAATAGCAACTCATTTTCGTGTCAATTTGATTTAAAATAATCACCAAATGCTCATTTTAGGAAAATTTAAAGATATATTTCTGATTTTTTCACGATTTTTGAAGAAACAATCATATGAAATCTAGTTTCTGTTTAAATATAAACCAGTTGCCGGCAATAAATATTTCCCTAAGTAACTGAATAAAATGGTGTAAATGTAGTACTGATATGTTAGCATATATTTTTCTGTTAGAAATATTTAGATTGTATGGGCAGGAATTTTGCCATCAGCAGCCTACTTTGGGCCCCTCAGAAAGAGTTGCTTCGAGGGTCCTTTAAGAGCCAATCTGCCAGAAAACCATGCAAAACCGTCCGAATGTCATTTTTTCCAAATGAGTTCATATTTGGCATATTGGTGCACCTTAGTAATGTAAATAACCACACAAATTTTTTTGGGAAAATATTGAACTGATCTGGATATTTTTTGAGCGCCATGTTTTAACAGATGAAATTGCTCGAAAACAGCAAAAATAAGCCTTTTTTGGCATATTTCGCTGGTTTAAATAAAAAAATATGGTAACATTTATAATTTTTTGATAGTTGTTCCTAGTAATACATCACTTTAAGTGTAAGAATGCATAGAATTAACAATGCTGTCTATTAAGTGTATGTATAATCTAACTGTTTCAATATGTCTTATTTAGCTACATGTCCAAAATGGCTGATTTTGGTCATCTTTCAGAGCCAAAATACTCCAAGACCCGTTTATTATTGTAAAACAACATATCTACTTTCAAAGTATAACTATATATACCCAATCAAAAAAAATATCAAGCTCGGCAAATAATGTTGGTGTCTGGTATATGCCACAACAAAATGGGGTAACCTGCATATTCAAATTTTCTCAATTTTGCCGTCTAATTTGTAACTACTGACATATGATAGAATCTGGACTTATAAATAAGTATAACAACAAATGGAAAAGAATAATTAATGTTTCATTTAATACATCAAGGAAATAATCATACATAAATACAAATTATTCATTATAAATCTAGAGGCTCCCAGGAGCCGAAATAGATCGTATTGACAAATTGTGCACCTAAAACGATAAAAAACACATATTTCAAACGCAATCAATTTAAATTAGAAGTTAAACAATTCAGAATAAGTACAGACTGTAAAAAAAAAAGTTTCTTCTGACCACTTTTGCAATTTATTCTTATTATATATTGATATAGTTGTCGGATAGTAGCAGAAAACTGTGAAAATTTGTAAATTTACACATTTCAGGGACAATAGCTCATAGATGTTATGTCCAATTTTTCAGAAAAATTTTGGTTATTTAGATTTTGTCATGTTGATAGTTTTTATCAATATATATATATATATTTTTTGAGACATCATCCCATGGAAGATTTAACTGATGTTTTAAAGTTGGAAAGTTTCTGTTGCTTGTTTGGTTGGTTGAAATTGTTTCTGTTAGAAGCATTATCAGTCTCCCAGTCTGATGTTGACTGCTGTGAAAGTTCAGTTGTTGTTGACACTGACAGAAATGTTAGCTGCGAGTCTAGATCTGAAAACCACAAAACATACATACATAAATCAGGCTGTTAGTTTTCATATTTTTTCATTTTCTTATTTTGGGTCCTTTTATGGCTGAATATATATGCAGTATAGGTCTTGCTCATTGTTGAAGGCCATATGGCGTATGAAGACGTATAGCTTTACTTCTATGTCATTTGTTCTCATTGGCAATCATACCACATTTTTTTTTAATTTCACATATACCACTGACAGGAAATAAAATTGACAACTTTACTGTAAGTGGATGCAGTTACAAAATTCTCCCAACTAAAGCCAAATCATTTTTGCAGAATAGCTATTATCCACTCCTTTTAAGCATGTCCAAATAGCCCTTAACATCTTTACAACAATAAAAATTGCCTCCATTTGGTCTGGCATGTCAAATTACCTCTCAATACAATTTTACATTGAAAACAGACAATGGTGATAATTTGACCGCTTTTAGTGACAATCTTTGAAATGGTGGCCATCTTTATATCTGTTCTCGATGTCAAATTACAGCTAAATATCAATATTCTTTAAAATCAAACTCAACAAAATTGAAAATTTTACCCTTTATTTGCTGTGTCCATCTTTAAAAAACAATTTCATTGTTTTGTTGGCATGTCAAAAGTGCTATAATTCCTTAATGTCAATTTTCATATAAGGCCATCTTGAAAATGTTTGCCATTTTGGAAGAAAAAACAAGTTACAACCTTACTTTCTTTAGCAAGTCAAACTACCACGACTATCCCTAATTAACAATTTTCATTAAATTAACCAGTGTTGAAATTTGTGCCATCCTTGGTGGCCATCTTGAAAATGTTTGACATCAGATAATCATCCACATATTGTGCTTTTCTTTTCACTAAAGTTTCATTTAAAAAGTTAACACCAGTTATCTCAGAAAAGGACAAATTTTGTGGAAGATGAAGAAAAAATGAAAGTTTGGACAGAACATTCAAGCTATAACAGCTCTAAATTTGTAATGGGATTAAATATTTGACAAAGAATAGGTTTCTAACACAGAATAAATATGGTATAAAGATAAAGTTTAATAGATTCAGCATATCAGAGAACCCCAAGATCAAATTAAGATTTAAAATTTCATAATAGGGCACAAAAACTAAATACAGGTTAGATTCAGGCTGAATCAGCATCTTTAAAATTATTGTTGAAATCAAACACAGTTAAATTATGGACCCCATTTGAACCAACTTGAAAACAGGGACCAAAATCATAAATCTAAGTACATATTTATATTCAGGATATTTGATTATTTCTATTTATCATTCAAAGAACCCTAATTCATTGTAATTAGAGTTCAAGTTTTGTTAAAATTAAACTAAGTTAAAATTTGGACCCTTTGGACTTTAAAATGTGGACAAATTTGAAAACCGGACCAAAAATAAAAATCTAAATATAAAACATTTGCATTTTGTATATCAAAAGAACCTCAAGAATTCAAGTTGTGTAGAAATAAGAAAAAAAATTTTGGACCATTTTGAAATCAATGTGAACCAATTTAAAATGGGGCCCAATTGCAACATCTTAGATTATTTAAATACATTGTTAGATTTAGCATATTAAGAACCCAAATAATGTATTTATTTTAATTTGTTCTTGTCCTAAACATGCATGAACTATTTGCCATTGGACATTAGCATTACCAACAACCAAACAATTAATCGAACAGGTGAAATATCTTCAAAAGTACCAATAAAAATCTCCCCCTTTTATATTTGAAAAAGTAAAATCACAAAAATACTGAACTCCGAGGAAAATTCAAAAAGGAAAGTCCCCAATCAAATGGCAAAATCAAAAGTTCAAACACATCAAACGAATGGATAACAACTGTCATATTCCTGACTTGGTACAGGCATTTTCTTATGTAGAAAATGGTGGATTGAACCTGGTTTTATAGCTAGATAATAAACCTCTCACTTGTATGACAGTCGCATCAAATTCCAATATATTGACAACGATGCGTGAACAAAACAAACAGACACAATAGGTAAAATTGTCAAAAATAGGGGTACAGCAGTCAACATTGTGTTATCATCTTAATCACTATAAAAACAAACAAATGTAACGAAGAAGCACAAAAAGGCATACATCAAATTTAACATCCTCATTTTGCTTATATTATACGATTTTATATATATATGTAAAATCCACCCATAAAGGATGGAAGGTTTTAAGTACTGGCGTAAAATCGCGCGTTTGAAATTCGCACAGGTAGACATAAAATAATTTTGTCGTTCAAAGTATGACGGAGTACATAAATACAGAGTCACGTAAAATGGATATCACAAAAAACAGACTTAACAGTAAAAGTAATACTTATTAATAAATAAAATAATTTAAATGGAATGTATGAACAGTTCATTAGTCATTGTTAGTTATTGAATGGAAAATATAGGAGCCGCCCAATATAGTACTACAAATTAAAATTAGCAGAGTGATTTTTCAATGGGAAAACCAAGTTAACAAAGACCTGTTTAATAAAACTGATGTACAAATGTATAACATGTAATTGTATAATTATGTTATTATATAAGTGATTACATATACTTTGTATGATTACCATGTTATACAAACAGTTTAATTAATATATAAGTTAATAATAACTTACCAATATCTTCTTCTATACATGTATTTAGTTTGACCTGGCTATTGTCACTTTTACAAAAATTCATCTTAATTGAGCATTGCTTGCATATATATAGCCCTACAAATAAAAAGTGTTAAACTATAAAATAATTCTTCAATTTTGTTTTACATGAAATAAAATATATCAGACAGGAAATGTAGGGTAGTGTAGCATCACTGTGCATGCATTTTAAATGTATGTTTTTTCTTTTAAAAAGGGCTCTATAAGTAATCTACATACATGTACATGTAGGGTCCTAAAATTGAACTTTACAAAAGTTTGCAATGCTTTTGATTTTTTAAGTCTCCATGGCCTATTAGTTAAAAAAAAAATATTATTCTCTGGATAAAGTTGTCTACTGTTACATGTACAGTATGTTGTATGTAAAACATGTATTTGTAGGAGGCTTTTCCATAATATAAAAGTTTTTTCAGTAGACAAAGAGCTGAACAGCTTCCAGTAAGAACTGAAATTATAACTTAGGGGAAGAGAATAAAAACCTGACCTGCTAAACGTTGAATATGTTGAAATAGATTTTGATTATTATCATGATTCTGGTCTATAAATTGATTTTTTAAAGCAGAAAATAAATATATATTGTACCCTGGTTAATAGCTTGAAAATTAAAATTCTGTCCTAAGCTGACAAGGACATAAATATTTTGACCATTCTAACCCTCCCCCTTGCTTTTTTAATCAAATGGTCCCAAGACAGAACAATGTATATACGGATATATATTATTTGCTTGCACTTTGCCATAGGAAATAAATAAGATGTCTTAGAAACAGGTCAGGTGTAAAAGAATATTCACATGCCCCTTTAACACCCACCCCCCCCCTTTTTTTAATCTAGCTAATGTATCAATTGTTGGTCCCCTAATTTCAGATTGACTATATGGAACAAATGAAAATTGATTGTAAGATATGTACCTGTTCCTACTGGAATAACTCGTCCTGTATACAGCCTGTTTTGAAAGGGTGAAGATCCTTGGTCAGCTTTGGCTTTGCTGGAAGAGGGTTGGACGAGATGTTGACATCTTGCTTGACTATCATGTCAATGAATTCCATAAAAGTCCCTGTATTTCGAGCATATTCAAAGACAAGATGATGTAACAACCATGGGAAAATAAACCACTCCTTGTCTTATATAAAATAAGGAGTCCTGTTGGAAATTCTACACCATAGTTTTTAGTATTATTCAGACTTCCTAAATGTAGATGAATGGTAGTCTGTATCTGTATGAATATGTTTGGTTACCAATGCTGGTTTCAATACCTCGGTAGAGAGAGTGTCGTTGATTTGTTGATGGTGCGCCAGAGCAGTTTTGACACTCTCAATCTCAATTTTGGTGCAAGCAAGGTGGTTCCACTCGCTCACCTTTTTTTTTTTACGAAGAATGATTTAGAATACTTTTGTTTTGCTCGTTGAAATCTAAAAACACTTTTTGTTGTTCATGGACTTATTTTTCCAATCAATATTTATCATGTTTATTCACTAAATTATTGTCATGATTGTCAAATTTCTTGGCAGTAATTATTTTTTTTGGAAATGCTATTTTGGACTTTAGTGCATTCAGATATCTTAAATAGTTTGTAATATGTAGATGTATAAGGCTGGGATAGCCTACATGCTCATCCTAGATTATTAAAGTCACAAACTTCACTGTAAGCATTTGTCTGCCAAACCATCACTGGGAGCTGACATGTTTGAGATCTTACCCAAGGGAGATAAGTCAATGGAAGAGCATAAAAGATGGACTGCTTGGTTTCAGACAATTTATTGATTTTAGGACTTGCAGTACAAATACGTCTTATTTCATTTTTCAGACAAATTTATTTTACTTGTTCGAATGATTTTATGAGCCATTTTAGTACCAATTGTGTTTAGAATTTAATTAAAATCAAAATTAAAATGTGTCAATTTGGGACTAAAATCACCATTCTTCCAAGGCATAAATTAACATATAATAGTCATTTGCCAAGCTTAATATTTTGTTTTGATATAAAACATACTCCATAGTTAAAACCGATATAAGTTGCAAACAAATCCGGAATGGGTCTTGCAAGATAGAAGCGAATAAAAACCACGTAAATTCATGTATGAAAAACCCCGCCTTTGTGTCCCTGCTCCTGGCAATGTGCCAAATCGTTTAAATTTTCATTTGTATTGATCATAACATAGTAAAATGGATGTGTTTCAGCTGACATTATTCTAAAAACTCAACTACCCCATTTAATATCCTTCTGGGTTATTCTTAAAAGGCATAACAAAGTTGGATTTTTCCTTGGTTTCATTATGAATTTTCATAATTATGCAAATGAGGCTGTTACTAAAAATAGATACGATTCTGGGAAAAATTAAGTGGTCAAATTCTTTTATTTTATGTCAAGGATTAAGATGATGTATAAAATTTGTCAAGTTGTGATTGCCGATTTGGACGATTTTCTGAATATTGCATGGTTTTTCTGGCGGATTGGCTCTTAAATGCAAAGTACACAACATTTTCAAAACATCAGGCTTGTCATTGTTCATGCATCTGGTTTAAAGATTTTCCCTAGACAGTGCTACATGAATTCTTCTGTAATATATCTATACGAAATATTTTTCCCAATATTTCTGATATAACATATTTGTCAGACATCGTTTTCAACGTTTTTTTCTTCAAAAATTGCTTGGTGAGTAAGATAATTCCTATATCCATCCGACCCTCCACACGATCAATTACTTGTACAAACCAAACTCTGTTTGTTGCATATAAAACTTTTTTTCGAGCTCTTTACCCTTGGATGGTACCCACAATGGATCATTATAGACACGTCCATATTTTCAGATCACAGTAGATGTTACAATAGAATGAATTGGAAATATCAAGGGACATCGTCTCCTCAAAACCACAATACGTGTCGACTTTTACACGGCAGATTTGACTTTAATGCAAGAAAACTTAAATGTAATGCAAGAAACATTATGTGTTTTAACTTTCATAGAATATGACTTTTCTCGCGTGTTTGCTTTTTAAAGTTTGGAGCGCCAATTAACGGTTTCAAGCAATTTCCAAACCCAGTGCAACAAAAATATAGGAACAATCAAAAAAGAAAAAGAAGCGCAATGATTCCCGCATGACACGACATATAGAGAGCAAAGGTTTAATAAGAGAATAATCATTTTCAAAAATATAGAACACTTCCTTTAATTTTCGAACTGTTTGGACCAAAAGCTGAACTGAAGTGTGTTAAACATCAACTTATGGAAACGAAGATCCGATATAATAAAGACCTGTCGGATATGGACTTAAGTTAGGAAGAAGTTAGCAACGTGCAAATGCAGGTAGAAAAACTGTTGACAGATTTGCAAACGGTGAAATCACGTAGAGTTATACAATATCCTGGTTCTTCTGTTGTATATAATGACAGCCCGACAATTAAAACATTACAGTTAAAGTTGAATCGCATAAAAGAACAATACCGCAAAGCACAGGAGAACTTTCATGTGAAAACCAGTGAATTTGAAATCGAAAGAGGACATCTGGTAATAGAGCAAGAGGATCGTGTGATGATAATTGATTTTTTTTTCATTTACAAGACAATTGATTGAGATTGGAGAACAATCGTTTGAAAGCAGTGTATAACTAATTGAAACATCCTGCCAAAGAACCAGTGAAACATTATTTCTGATTAGATTGTTCACACGGTGTTCAGTGTAACTGTTTGTTTATGTTTTCCGCCTTTTATTCCAATCAAACTATTTTAAAGGACGTACCTGTAACATGTAGAATTGTATTTATTACTAGTTTGTCATGCACTCTTCGTCATTGGACGTTAAGCAAACATCAATCAATCACTAAGCCATGTTCCTTTTGGTACGCTAAAGCTTGCATTAAAAAGGTGTGTTGAGTATTATTAAACTATAAATTCCCCCCGTTTGTCTTAAATCATGAATAACTTGGTTTTAATCTTTTTTTTTCCGTTAGAAATTTTTATGTTGAAGGTATATTTTTGGTATACTGTGTTACGTTAGTCATTTCGTGATCTCGCACCAAATATATTATATGGTACTGATTGTTGAAAACCGAATTCTAACCAGTAGATAACGCTCAGTTTTTGGTGCCGTTGAATAGCTACTCGAGGCTAATTGAAGGTTCATCAACATCGCTTTTTATTCATATTGCAAATGTTTAGATACTTTTGCAGTCTTTTTGATTGAAGAAAACGTGGCCATAACGAAAAAAACTTACAATTTTTTATTAACTTGCAATAATTTTTTGTTCGAAATGGCAAAATATTTTTTTTTTGTCAAAATAGGAAAATAGGAATAATTCAAAATAACAGTTCTAAAGTTTGTGTTAAATTACAAAATTTTCAATTTGACAGCAACCAAACAACAAAAAGTCTTCAGAAGTTAACACACATTATTTAACAATAATACAGTGTCTTTACAATATGTTATGGTCTTAATCACCTGAATTATTATGTACAGAAATCTCAAAACACACAAAAATAAAAAAAATAAAGAGAAGTAATGCATTATCAGCATTCCGAGTCAAACTATTAATTGGTTTTTATATCCAACAGTACACAGAGATAAAACACATTTTCTTGTTTAATGAGAACAGGTAGAAATTATAGATTCCATCACTGCAACAAGTGTGTTACGATATTTCTTAACTCGAGATAGTTCATTTTGATATTTAATGCACGAGGCTAGCCAAGCTCTTTAAATAATTCAAATAAAACTGTTGCGTGGGGAGAAAAATCGTAATACACGAGTTATGGTGGTGGCATCTGTTTCTTTAATGATTTTATCCGTCATTTTCAAAGATTTGCAGAAAGTTGTGTTCTTCATATGTGATTTCATCAAGCGTAGTCGCCTTTTTTCCGGACGTCTCATTAGGAAATTCTGGAGAAATCAAGAAAATTTAACGTCATAATTGAATTTCGAACAATATATATTTTTCGCACACCGCTCAAGAAATGTGAAAATAGCACAAAAATTAGAACAGATATTTTTAAGACTTTTTCAGTCTTGAGGAAAAAGTAAGAAGTGTGAACCATGGATTTTGGTAAACATTGATAAGAAATTATATTTTAAGATGTAGATGAGAAGGTTTTTTTTTTATATTTTAATTGATTATCTGTAAAGTATCAAGTTGAGTATTAGATTAGCTCAGTATTTTTACTTGAACATATATAAGTGCACCATTTCGAAAATAAAGATTGTCCCAGTTCCCTGCAATGTGTCGACAGTTTTGTTTTTCGAAAAATCAAAACCATTTCATCAAGATGTACAAAGCTTAACTTTTGGTTCAATGAAACTATCAAAGAACCTGAAAATGATATTGAGGACATATCAAGATGCAGGGTGTATATAAGTTAATGCCATTTTCTTTGTTCTATTAGTTGTGTAGTAAAGCATAGATTTAATAACGATATCTAAACTGTCATGCGCTTGGCAGAAAATCCAACATGACAATGAATAAGGGGAACAAGACAAGCACTGTTATACCCCCACACCCAAGGTAAAGTGCTAATTTTCTGTAGTCTTCTTCCACGGTATGACGATAAAGTTTTCTTATTTACTTGGTATGGGAGATTTGTTTATGTATCATGTTTATTGTCTGAAGGATATGTATAGTTCCATAAGCATTCGCATGTGGTTGTACAAGTCACATGATGTTGGGTTAGTGTAACCACAGTTGTTGTTTCATCTGCATAGATGGTCCATTAGTATATTTTTTCCTTAGTGTAGACATTTCCCCAGATATTGAAGTTCCATCAGGCACTAATGATAATTTAAACGACGTACGTGAGGCATCTGTGGTTGAAGTATCAAGAAATGATTTACTTGGGGTATGAGAACTTATATCCAATAAGGTTAACAGCTGTTCCGTTGCTGCAAATACAAAAACTAATTAAACAAAAACCAAGCAAGTCTATCATTACATTCGTGTAAATCTTAAACCAATTTTATTTCAGCTTGTGAAATCATGAATTTTAAAAATAGACATTGAAATAGCTTCCTCATATACATGTAAAATAGGACAAGAATAAAGTTCTCTACGTCTGACGTACAACAGCTTGGTATCTTTAATGAGTTTTATTTTACCAGAATAAATGTCGAATAAAAAGTAACTTATTATGCATGTACGTATACGATGCATGCCAGATACAAAGGCGGTTAGACTTCGGTGTTCGAGTTGTCTAAGTAGGCAAACTTCAATATCACAAGCCTGTCAACATAGGGGTGACTTCGCATCCCACACGTGGCTCGATTCCATTTTCAATTGACTAGTATTATAAGTTTTCCTACCGAAGCTCGGTGGTTCTCTCTTGGCTTTCCAGTTCCTTCCAAAAATTAAAATAAGCACCACTTAGTATCACTCTAGTGGCTTTAAACACCAATCAATAAATCAGTGAATTAAGTTGCGTATGCATTATGTCCTGTATTTTCCATAGCTACATTATTATTGGGTATTTATGTCTAATCCTTACTTTTCAAGTACTTGTACTTGTATTTGATAAAATATAAATGAAACGACACAAAAATCATATATTGCCGTGGCCAATAGTGAACAAAGTTAATAGCAACACAGATTAAGTAAATGACATTAAAAATGAGAGTATTGTCTGTAAAAGTTGACAATGCACAGTGCGTTCATGTTTGTTGTTACTTGTAAGTTTATAAAAAACTATAAAATACAACAAGATAGATCCAATACACTTTATTATTAGTTTGATGTGAGTTACAGAGTACA